GAGTGTCGCTCTGTCACCAGGCTGGAGTGCAGTGGTGCAATTTCGGCTCACTGCAGCCTCCACCTTCTGGGTTCAAGCAATTCTCTTGCCTCAGCCTCCTAAGGAGCTGGGACTATAGGCGCATGCCATCACATCTGGCTAATTTTTGTGTTTTTAGTGTAGACAGGGTTTTACCATGTTGGCCAGGCTGGTCTCAAACTCCTGACCTTAGGTGATCTACTTGACTCAGCCTTCCAAGTAGATTATAGGCTTGCACCACCATGCCTGGGTGAAATGATTCAATTTTTAACAGACTTTCATAATACTTGCCCTTTAGGGCTTAAGATCACCAGGGTATTAGTCCTACTCTAAATGACCTTATGTATTTGCACATTTGACCTTAATTTTCCTGAACCCCAGGTGTCTCTTCCTTTTAATGAGGTTGATCTGTGCCTTGCCTCCTTCCCAGGATTGCTTTGATGATCAAGTTTAGGTGAAATATACAAGAATTTTGTTGAATTCCCATGCATTAGCACTGTAAGGGCTCAATGATGATTATTACTACATTCTGATAGTGTTTCAATTAAAGCATGTTAACTGGTGGACTCACGTGTTTGTGACATTCTTAGTCACGTAAGTATTGGTTTCCTCCAGCATCTCCATCCTCTCCTGAGCACTTGCCTGCAACACCCTCGGAATCTCCAGCCCAGAGGTTTGAAGCTCGGATAGAAGATGGCAAACTGTACTATGATAAAAGATGGTATGTTATGGGAAAACCTGCACTAATAAGAGTCTCAAAAGAACCATTTGGAAAGAGGGCTGGGGCTACTGTGGTTATTTCAGAGCATGGCTGCTGCTAAACTTACATAGTACTAAAAGTAGAAACCATTAAAAAATGTATCAGCAGTCATTTAATCAATACTTCTGTTAGACCTTTGAAAGCAGTGTTTCCCCAAACCATGTTCTGCTCCCCTTTCTTCTCCATTCTGCTGTTTCTCTACTAGAATTTGCAGGCTGGTATCTTCTGTGATGCCCATGCCAACTGGGGCTGGGGTGTATGTCCCCCTCTGAGCCCTCTTAACTCTGCCCTTGTGTGCTAAAATTAATAGGTGCTCTTCAGATTAAAGGATTTTGTGGTCAAATCAGTTTGGGGATGATCCTGTTAATTAAGATAAATGGGTTTCTCCCTTGTAGCACCCTTTGGGTCCTGTGATATGGTAATGTACACTGAATTTCTAAGATGTTATTAGGTGTTTTTTTGATGCCACATACCCTTTTTGTATACATGATCCTGCTGCAGAAGTGGTCAAGGAAACTTGCTTGGGGTAACTGTATCCTAAAACATTTCTAGTTGTTTTTTTTTTGAGATGGAGTCTTGCTCTGTCACCCAGGCTGGAGTGTAGTGGCTTGATCTCTGCCCACTGCAACCTCCACCTCCCAGGTTCAAGCAATTCTTCTGCCTCACCCTCCTGAGTAGATGGGTATATAGGCACCCACCACCATGCCTGGCTGATTTTTGTATTTTTAGTAGGGATGGGGTTTTGCCATGTTGGTCAGACTGGTTTCAAACTCCTGACCTCACATGATCTGCCTGCCTTAGCCTCCTAAAGTGCTGGGATTAGAGGCGTGAGCCACCATGCCTGGCTAAATTCCTAGTTTAGATTGAAGACTATTTGAAATCTTCAGAGCAGCTAGCATTTTTCATTGGAAACGTAATGGCAAAACAATATGAAAGAACTTTAAAAGCTCATACTTTTATTTATTCAACAAACATTTTTTTCTGTTCTGTATGAGGCATTCTGGTAGGTATGAAATGGATACTGCCGTCATTTCTCAGGTCCTCTCATTCTGATATATTTCTATTCTTTGTTCATATGCAGGCAGGCATACTCTATTCATTTTAAGTCATAGGTCACATGGTTTGCCTTGCCTTCCCGTTTGGTTATATTGAGAATGTTTTTCTGGGTTACTGTAAGGTGTCTGCAATTATTTGTAATGGCTGTGTAATGATCCTTTGAGTTTTAATATCCAAAAGTTCCAAAATTTAGGGTAATGGGTTATTTTGAATTCTTAAAAAAAAAAAAAAAAAAAAAAAAAAAAAAAAAAAAAAAAAAAATATTAAAAAAAAAAAAAAAAAAAGCAAAAAAACCCAGCATTGAGTTGGTTACTTTGCATTAGTTACTTGATAATATTGTACTTGTCAAAAATGCTTAGGGGTCTACTCATGCCTGAAGTAAATCATTTCTACCTATGAGGTTGCATGAGTTAATTACCCAATAGATGCTGGAGGCTTGCTTTATCTCTAAGGCTGATCTTAATGACTTCTTCCCCTCTGATTTGGTTTTCTTTGGCATTCTTCAGGAAGGTCGCTTTGTGTTGTTTTATTACGTCTCAGAACACATCACCACTAGGTGGCAGGCTTTAACAGCTTACCACTGAGAATGGCAAAATTAGATGAAAAATGTTTCTAATAATGAAAACCAAATAACCTTTAAAGATCAAGCCCACACATAAGAAGCATCTTTGAAAATGATGAGATTTATCACTAACATTTTTACGGATCTGTGAGTCTTAAAGCCATGTGATATTTCCAACGATGTTCATTTTGTAACTGTGTTGCTTTGAATCTTCCTCTTTCTAAGCTTAATCCTCAGACTTTATGAGACGTGTCTTGAGGGTGAAATGCAGTAAAATGAAATTCTTGTTTTTTTTTTTTTTTTTTTTTTTAAAGAAAGGAAAGGATCCACAGTATCTGGTGTTTCCTAATGTAAACAGAATGGTCAGGTTTGATGTGTTAGAACTCCTAAGTATTTTGAAGGAATTTTCACCATCTTTCTTACATTAGCAGCAGAAATTTAGAAATGAATGTTACTGGACACATTGAACTTTTTCAGTGAATCTGAAATTGTTTATTCTCTTGTTAAATGTACTTTGAGAATGTTGCTTTCTTCTCTATTCCGTATATTTTTCAGTTTTGGCCGTGTCAGTCAGAGACAATAATGCAGTTGTTGAAGAGGGGCCCCTCTCTTTCTCAGTGACAGTTGAAAAGTGTTCCTGGGAATCCTGGCTAAGGCTTTCACTGCAGAGCCAGCCGCTCCCATTTCCCCAGGCTCATGTTTGGCTTTTGTATCAGTTCGGAGGTTTCGTTTTTCTTTCTTCAGCAGACGTGGCCTGTGGCTGAGAGGTCAGCTGCAGTTGCTTTATGTTCTTTCCAGGGGTGTGGAATGTTTTGGTGCAGCCGTATTTTTGGCAGAAGATGTCTTGCTGAGTTTTAAATGGCTTCAGCAAAACAAATGGGATTCAGACTTCCCATCTTAGTGTGAATACTTGCTAAGCTTCCTTTCATTTTGAAAGATAAGGATCTTCCCTTTGCCTTGGTCTTACACTGCATTTAAGGCATTTTATATCCTGCTATAATTTACCTCACATTTTGATTTGGACTAATGACCTCTCTCAAAAAATACTGTGAAAAAGCAGCTGATATTTGAAAATAAGGACTTCTTTTTTTCTCTCCTCATTTTAAATATGGGGCTGCTACCATGAATCAGAAATGAAGCCACCCACTTGCTCAAGTGGATTTCACCCTCCAGCCTTTGCTTGACACAAAAGACTAACTAAAACAGTGAATATTTACCAGGAGAGTTGGGACTCCTTGAGGTCCTGTAATTATAACGTGGACTCACTTTTTGGGGAAATAAAGTGTTAATACCAGGATTCTCAGTAGGATACAAAATTAAATTAATTTTCCTCCCTCCTTGCCTCACTTTTGTGCCCACCTTCTTAAGAAATTGCTTTTTCAAAATAGTACAGTAGTGGTAATTTCTGGTTTTGTTGGGTTTGATAGTGAGGCACAAAGCTTTAAGAACTTAATTGTAGAGAGTCCCAGGTCAGAATTTCCATTAGTAACAAAGTAATAAAGTCAGTCTAACATTTGGGGCTTATTCTTTGTTGCTATTTAAAGTATCTTTTGTCAGCAGCTGAGTTGCAGCTTGTAAAACAGGTTAATTGGCCAAAAAAAAAAAATAATACACATTGTTACTACCTTATTGATGTTGCTTCCTAGCACATTTTTTATCTAAATATATTTTTAAATTCTCCCTCCAGCTTTGATTTTTCAGTGACATTATCTCTCACTGCAGCCTCTGCCTCTTGGGTTCAAGCAATGCTGTGCCTCACCCTCCTGAGTAACTAGGATTACAGGCGCACACCACCATGCTGGGTAATTTTTGTATTTTTGTATTGTTAGTAGAGATAGGGTTTTACCTTGTTGGTCTGGGTGGGCTTGAACTCCTGACCTCAAGTGATCTACCTGCCTTGACCTCCCAAAATGCTGGGATTACAGGCATGAGCCTCTGTGCCCGGCTGTAACAAGTATATGTTTTATCGTAAACACAGGAAGATACACATGAAGATAGTGGACGTAGTATTTTCTTCTTCTTTTTTTTTTTTTTTAAAGATGGGGCTTCACCATATTGGCCAGGCTAGTTTTGAACTCCTGACCTCAGGTGATCCACCCACCTCAGCCTCCCAAATTGCTAGGATTACAGGCGTGAGCCACAGCACCTGGCTGGTCTTTTTTTTTTTTGATAGGAATTTTGCTCTTGTTTTCCAGGCTGGAGTGCAATGGCACAATCTCGACTCACTGCAACCTCCGCCTCCTGGATTCAAGTGATTCTCCTGCCTCAGCCTCCCAAGTAGAGGAGCTGGGAGTATAGGCATGTGTCACCATGCCAGGCTAATTTTGTCTATTTAGTAGAGACAGGGTTTCACCATGTTAGTCAGGCTGGTCTTGATCTCCTGACCTCAGGTGATCCACCCACCTCTGCCTCCCAAAGTGCTGGGATTACAGGTGTGAGCCACCACACCTGGCCTGTTTTTTCTTTACTTAGCAGTATATTGAGCATGTTTCCACACTCGTAATATTCTATACCACATCTGTGACCTTTCTTTATTAAAGTGTTTAGAAAGTTGTATCAGAATGACTTGAGGGTAGTTGCATTTTGTTTTGTGTCTTTATCTCTTTAATAACTTACAGTCTCTGTAGAATAACTGTGAGTATTCTGCCTCTGTATTTTTATTTTAACCATTACTCAAGACATTACTATTTACATAGGAGAGCCAGCTCAGATGTGGGAGAGAAACCAGGGGAAGTGTTAAGAGTGTTAGTATGAACTTAGCCTTTTCTCCTGCATGTGCAGTTCAGACCATGTGATAGTACATGTTTAGCATAATGAAGATCCCCAATCCAGTTTACCAACTAATATAGGGCCAGAAGCGACTTTAAAACTTGCATCTAAACCATTTTCGCTGTTGTAATTGAACTGAAAATTCTGTTTCTTTTTTGTTTAAGACAGGAGTCTTGCTGTCACTCAGGCTGGAGTGCAGTACTGTGATCTTGGCTCACTGCAGCCTCTGCCTCCCTGGGTCAAGCAGTAATCCTCCCTCATCCTCCCAAGTAGCTGGGATTACAGACGCCTGCCACCATGTTTGGCTAATTTTTGTATTTTTAGTAGAGATGGGGTTTCACCATGTTGGCTAGGCTGGTCTTGAACTCCTGACCACAGGTGATCCACCTGCCTTGGCCTCCCAAAGTCCTGGGATTACAGGTGTGAGTCACTACGCCTGGACTAAAATGCTATTTCTTTTAATAGTATTTTCTGAAAGTAAATTGACTTGGAAACGTGAGTTTTCAGTTCCTAAGTAGCAGGTTAAAGAGAAGTTAGACCCTAGACTGGAAAAAGTTCTTTACGTGGGAGTGAAGTACATCCTTTACGGTGATGTCTTGACAGTAGGTTATTTTGTTACAGCAGCAAAACAGAAGTAATAAGCTATCATGCTTTCCTGGGAGATGTATTTTGGTGAATTTACGTGAGATTATGGGTCTGGTTAGCCAGATCTTTGCAGCCAAAATGAACCAAAGGTTACGTTATTAACTGACCTGGAGCTGGCCCAGGCTAGGTCTGTTAGCCTCAGTTCTGCTGAGATTTCCAACTCTTATAATCCAGCAGGGGGCTTGTTCATCCTGTGGCAGCTGCTGTTGTCCCATTTGGGCTTTGGCCCCCCAGCAACTTCACTTTCATCCTTGGCCTTGTCCCTGAACTTGTAGAAATAAGAAGTGATCCTACACTGCAGGTCGAGAGCAGATGCAGGAATTGAAAGGGGAGTGTCTGTCTTACCTACTCTGTTCAAAGAAGCTCTCCCAACTGTCTGAGCCGTGTTAGATACCCTTTGGTATACGTCACAACACTTGGAACTTTGTCTGATTAGCATATACCAGGTGTGGTTATTATTAATTATTATTATTATTTTGGAGATGGAGTCTCCCTCTCACCTGAGCTAGAGTGCAATGGCACAATCTTGGCTTACTGCAGCCTCTGCCTCCTGGGTTCACGCAATTCTCCTGCCTCAGCCTCCCAAGTAGCTGGGATTACAGGTGCCCGCCACCACACCCAGTTAATTTTTTTGTATTTTTAGTTGAGATGGGGTTTCACTATGTTGGCCAGACTGGTCTTGAACTCCCACCCTTGTGATCCGCCTGCCTTGGACTCCCAAAGTGCTGGGATTATAGGCGTGAGCCACCTTGCTCAGCCTGTGGGATGATTTAATGTTCTTTATCCCCACTGGATTTGAAGCTTTGTGATAGCAGGGGCCTTGTGGCCTTTTTCACTCTCTGTCCTCAACCTCCAGCATAGTCAGTGGTACACAGTAAGTGCTTAATGAGTATTTTTGAATGAGTGACTAAAGGGTTAAAGTTAGTCTTCCTTCTTGTTGGTGACTTATTTGGACAAATAGAAAACAGGTAGCAGTTGCTCAAGCCTATTTATTTGTTTTGTCTGTCCAGCCTTCTTCAGTGTTCTGAGGTCGGGCCAGAAAGAGGGAACAGGGTTTTTATTTAAAAATTTTTAATTTACTTTTTGAACTGGGTCATATAGTCCAAATGAAAAGGAAAAATATGTAGTTTTTCAACCCTTTCTTCAGCCTCTTTTTTCCCCTCTTAGTGGGACCAAGGAATACAAGCCTTAGATCTAGAAGAAGATCAGGTGGTCCTCTAATCTGAGGATGGAAGCCTTTCAGTTAAGCCCTTGGAAATCCAGGCTATTCCTCAATATAAAATATTAAGACTTCTTTAATGATAATTTTTGTTCTGATGCTGTTTTCCTTTTGTTTGGTTTTTACTTCCTCTCTCTATCCCTCCCTTTATACAAATGTGTGTCTTGTTTTTGTCAGGTACCACAAGAGCCAGGCCATCTATCTGGAGTCAAAGGACAACCAGAAACTGAGCTGCGTGATCAGTTCTGTAGGAGCCAATGAGGTGGGAACCACACTCCCTCATCTTTAAGAAAGCAAAGTGTGCACTGTGAAGTGTCAATATGAAAACCTGAAGTGAAAGTGCCACCAAGGAAGTACAGTGGAGTCAGTCATGTCTTCTATGTAGGGCAGATTCTAAAGTCAGGCAGAAATTGCACAGCGTCAGAATCATCCTTGAAAAGCCCTTACATTTGCTTGACTGCAATATATGCAGATTTATCTATTCCATGGGGTATTTGTGAACTTAGTTGCATAGCCACTGATTTGGGAACCACGGAGCTAGATTCCAGGAAAGAACAAAAAGCAAGTGTGTGTGGTGTCTATACGTTCAGCTACTGCTGCTTTTTAAGGTAACCATCTACTGAGAATGAAGCTTGCCTGTGGAGCATATTCCCTCTTGGTTTTGTTTCTCTAGAACTTTCACACGTACCAATAGATTGGTTTCTTGCTGTGAGGATTGAATGAGGCACCTGGCACAGGGTCTAGCACCCAGTAAGTGCTCTCTAAATGAGTGCTGGCCTGAACTGACCCACTCGCCACTTGCCTGCTGTCTCTTCCAGCTGAGGTGTCCTGTTGTGCCTCTGAACAAGTCGCCAGGCTCATGCCCTTGGTTTTGGTCTCCTTGAGACACTCCTGTAGGATGAGGTCTGGTTTAAAAGTCAGCTCAGAGGGTTATACCTGAGGATGATGTGACTGCCCTGTGAGTTCTCCAAGTGGTCCTTCATTAGGAGTATGTCAGCAATGTGTACTTAATGTTGTTAGTTAAAAAAAAAGTTTAAAACTTTAATAGCTGGATTGGCTTGATGTTTTATCAGTCCTCAAATGTCTGCAAAGAAATTGATATTTATGTGTCTACCCTCTGTAACTTATTCGTGCCATTGCACAGTAAATCTAATGAAACTGGATTATGAAATAACTTAAACCTCTTCTATTCTTCCAGCTTCCTGAATTGAAAATGCCCTGAAGTGTGACTAGTTTGCAGAATGATTGTTTACTTAGAAGTTAGGGAGAGCCTTCTAGATAAATGAATGCCGTTCTTCTCTGGGCTGAGGATCTGTGTGAGTCCCCTCAAGCCAAGTCAGGACCAGAACAGGGAATCGAATAGACCTGTTCCTTAGCTAAGAGGTGTCACAATTTCATGATAAGCATTTGCACCTGGCTGTCTGGGTTTTTCCACAAAGCACATGGCCTTCTAGTACCTGACCCTAACTTCAGAACCAGTGCATTAGTCTCCTCTGTGATACCTCAAGATTTTTCAGAAAAATAGAAATGCAGGTTCATTTTTATTTCTCTCTCTCTGCTGACTATTGTCACTTCTTGACATAATAGTGTTAGTGAGATCTAACAAAGAAACAGTGACACTGAAACATGTCTCCTGGAGGGGAAAAGCCTCAGTGCATTGAAGACGTGCAACTCTAGCAATGGGGAAATGAGAATTTCTTGGAAATGTTCCAGCTCATTTTTCAGATCAAATCCTAGGTGACACTAGAGCTACTTGGCTTTAGCACAGCTTGACTCCGAGCAGGTTTGGTGGGTGGCTCTGAGTGTGTTGATGACTCCCTGACTTAGCCTTTCTTGGAATCAGTTTTCAGTTTAAAATGATTCTGCAAGGTCCTCTGGAGGCTTAGCTTCATGTGAGGTCTTTAACTTTTTAAATTTTTAAGCCAGTGTATTTGACTTTTAAGTCTCTCTACTGCTGAATAATCACATTAAAGAAATTGAGATGAAACTGAGAATGAGCTTTTTTAAAACCTGAAAATTGAGTCCAGGAAGGAGGAGATACGTCTGTAAACTCGTATATATGGGTGAGGTGTAGACCTTTCAGAAAACTCTGCTTTTGGCTCCATTTAATTGCATGTTACAGAAAAAGAGGCAAGAAGAAGCCAGAGACTGCTTTAGTAGAGAAGAGCCAGGGGCTTTGATATCAGGCGCCAGAATTCACATCGTGATAAGTGACTCAGCCTTGCTGAGCTTTGGTTTCCTCTTCTTTAAAATGGGGCCAATAATAGTACTTATTTCATAGGATTGTCTTGCAGTTGAAAAAGCTCAGCTTGATGAGCATGGTGTCTGGCACAGTCAGAGCCCAGTGACCCTGACTCAGGGGGTCAGGTGACTGGCAGCAGCTCCCATTTCACCTATGGCTTTAGGATGCCCCTTATCTAGTGCATTTGTCAGCCCTGGCAATCCCCTGTGCAAGAGCTCATTCTCAATTCTACAGAAGAATGCATCTGCCCTGTAAAATGCACTCTAATCTGATACCATCTGAGGTAGAGGGGTATGGTGAGGAGGGAAGGACTCTCAGAGGTGCTTCAGCCTTCTCATGATCCTGATTGGGCCTTAGCTCATTAGTGGGCATTTTTCTATTGTTGGTATTTGTCCCCCCCTTTTTCTGCACCACCATTAGCCTTCATTGCTAGGAAATCAAAGGATTGAAAGGTTCTATAATATGGAAGTCCCTTGGGGCGAGAAAAATACTTCCAAATTTGATTGAAAGTTTGTGTTTATGAATAGATGTCTCTTGAGTGTTGATAACACTGTAATCAAACCAAATTTAAAAGCATCTTTAAGATCAAGGCAGAAATGGAACCCAAGATTGCTGTGTTTTCCATTTTTGTAATCACGGGTGTGAGAGAGATGGCTGATAAATGAGTTCAAGGCCGATGCTGGCTCCCAGCAGCAATGCCTTAGATGGCCGGAGGCCAGGGGTGCTTGTGAAGCCCTCGCAAGTTGAGACAGTTTATTCCAGCAAGAGGCTGCTGGTTTTCTGCCTGCATCTAACTTGTGCAGATATTTTGATGGTGCAGAGATTTGCTCTTCTATATTTCTTGACTTCTCATCTCTCTCCCATTTGTCTCCGCTGCAGATCTGGGTGAGGAAGACAAGTGACAGCACCAAGATGAGGATCTACCTGGGCCAGCTTCAGCGGGGGCTCTTCGTGATCCGCCGGCGCTCGGCTGCTTGACTCTACAGTGCTCTCCTCTTGACCCTTTTTCTGGAGCGGTTTTAATTTTTGTTTTGTTTTGTTTTCTTCTTAATAGAAAAACATTAACTTACTGGGAATAGCTACTTGGCCTTGGAAATGGAGAGCACTGTCCGTGGATTCCTTAAGGCACTTTTGTGGCCGGCCACTTCCATCTTTGTGTCAGTCTTTTCTGCCTCAACTTCTTCCAGACGTCAGTCACCTTGAGAGTGTTTTACTTTCAGGAGTATTGGGGGTTTGATTTACTTTTCTTTTATTTCTTTATTTTTTGCTTACACTTGTTTTTTGAAAACCTCCTTTGCGTCTGAAGGGACAGCCATTTTGATTAATTATCTTTAGGTCTCTCTACCGTAGAGAAGAACAGGAAGGGATACACTCTCCAGTGCATTTCATGTTTTGAATCTGATTAGTGGGTCACGTAGCTACTTTCCTTGTCGAGCCCAATTCACTATTTCACCAGAAGCTTGGGGCAGGGGTCCTAGCAGAAGAAGATTAATTCTCCTGGCTCTCAGCCTTCTTGGAGAAATAAAGGCTTTGTGTAACATCTGGCGCATGCCATCCATTCCACTGGCCGAACGGTGGGAAAGCTTGCTTGGGAGACTATGTGCACTGAAGTAAATGGGGTTGGGGAGGGAACGTTTCATATTTATAATGTGCTGAAGGTACCATATTTTAAATGTTATTTAATGCAGGCGATTAACTCAAACATTTGTTCTAGCTTAAGCTGGAATAAGAAGCGGTCATTTCAGAAGTTTTCATTTGTAATTCCTTCTTCTCCCTTGTTCTCAAGTAGGTAGTAGTTGTATGTGCCATGGGCTGATTATCTGGGTGATCTTACGGGTGGGAGGTGAGATGGATAGTGCAGTCATCAGTGATCTGTAGACCTTCATGTACGACTGAAGTTTTGCTCCTGTGGCTGTTGCTATCATTACACATTGGCCGTTCCAAATCTGCGGAGAACTTTGTTGTCAGGCCCTGAGCACTCACAGCTTCCCAGGGGATTTGGCCCAGCTTGAAGACAAAGCTCTGCCTTGGCTGCCTCTGAACTGACACCCTCCCTAATGAGTCCTGATAAAACAGCCTTTCCTGCATCCTCCCCTTGTTCCCGTGATGGGAGAAATGATTCATTGGGTGATGGGTGTTGGGGTTTTCTATACTCATGTTGCCATCTTGAGATGTTTAAAAAATTTGGGGTTAGAGCAGCTGTTAGCATCTCTATGGGCAATCAGTAGAACTTACACATTCTAGGAAATCTTTCTTTGTAAGTAATTCTCTTGGTCTCAAGTGATTCTCTTCATGTCTCTTGATGTACATACCCCAAAGCAGGTTGAGGGGCTGTGATGACAATTAAATCACCTTCTCTGAAGTTCTGGCTCCACAGAGACCAAACCTTACTGATTCAGAGTAAAGACTTGTACAGGTAGATTTTTGTTTTAACTTACAATCCATTTTTTCTTCTCACTTTTTTTCCTGGTGTTGGACTCTTATTCAGAAAACAGGATAAATGACGCTGTTATCAAAAGTTGCCTGGGCGTTCTGTTTCTTCTCTGCCCTCCAGCCCCCACTGCCATGACGTTTACCACAGTGCACCAAGGCCACGGTGAACACAGGCCTCACCTGTACTTGTTTGCTGGCCTTGGCTGTGAGGCAGGACGTCCTTTGCTTGAACTGTTGCACATGCAGGGTGTGTGTCACGTCGCATATCATGCAGCTGTTGGTTTTCATCTAGTGCCCTGTGATGGAAATCAGATATAGTTCATGTATTTTGTCATTGAAGGTGGGTATTTTCAGTGGTCCTCTTTTTTGTCCTCCTAAACAGTATACCAAAGTTTGTTTTTATTGTTGAGGATTGTGTTGATAACCACTGGGGTTCTGCACTGAAGCAGCAACAAGTCGCCTCTTTTCCTGGCCTTCTCTGGTGGGACCTCTGTGCTTTTGTGAAGCAACTATTTACTTGAAGACCAGGGTATGGGCACTTTTGCCTTCTCTCTTCTCTGACTTTTGAGGGCATTGAGGCCATTCTTAATCGTGGTCTCGACTCCACCACTGCCCTCTCCTTGGTGTCCTCACAGCCCTTAGTTGGGCCTAGTGAAAATGGAGGCAGGTGTGAAGTCCACTTATGACGCATCATAATAAATTACATTTCTAATCCCAGAGGACTTAATCTTTCATTATGTCACCCCAGAGGTGGAAAATCAGTGGTTGAACTGTTCTGACAGGCCTCAGGTGACAGGAACAGAAGCAGCCTTCCTGTTAGTTGGGGGTACTTCTGTGGTGGGCAGAAGCCTGACTCAAAGGGGAGACAGACTTCGAGGCTCCTAGATGAGGCGGCGGCTAGCTTCTAGCCTGGGTGGCCATTCTTACTCCAGAAGGCCTTTGTCTCTCACTAGACCCCAAGGCACCGAATGAATTGCCAAGTTTAAACTGTTTCCTGCAAGTGATTACTTTGAACAGGGTTGGTCCAGACCCTTCTGATCAAGAAGCTGTGCATGTGTGACGTGAGAGGCATCTGCCTCGAGTCTGTGTACAGTGATTGCTGTGAGTGTGTCTCAGTATTCATTTTTACCTCTGCTTGGGGGTTTCGTGTGTTTCCCCTTCCCCCATGCCCTGCCCACCCCCATTTCCCTGAGCCAGTGTCCTCTTGAACAATTTCCAGATGGATTTCTGTAGCTGTACCAAAGCCAGGGTGTTTTCATTCATGCAGATACCAATATTTGTAGATGTCTAACTTAACTTTTCTTTTTGAACTTCTAATTGGGGTCAGTGTAAGATCGATTTCAGAGGCTGATCTGCAAATCAAGCTTACGTGTATTTGTGTATGAGACCCTGTGTTCAGGACTGGGTGGCTTTTCTAAGAAATATGGGGTTTAGAGTGGGGTTGACTGTATTTTTTAACCAAATTCTGGAGAGAAGTTTCTATTTTTTACAGTTTTTTGGTTTTGGCTTCCTTCTAACATTTTCCTTTAGCCTTGAATTTTTACTAAATAATTTTCTCCTGATTAAAACTTTTTTTCTCATCTGGGAATTTGAAATCTCGGTGCTTACTATGACACCAATTTTTCCAAAGAGTTGAAATCACTTTAATGCCGGAACATGGTAAATTTGCAGCCATTTCAAGCAGCTGGTGGTCTTTTTTATAATATCATTAACGGGTACCATTAAATATTCTGAGAGGTGAATGTAAAATATAAAAGGTATAGGGTTTTTTTTTTTTTTTAATAAACTTTCAAAAAGAAAACCAGCATGAAGTCTGTATTGTATCCATTGACTTGATAAATGATAGAAATTTATTTTAGTTTTTTGATCCATTGCTTATGGGGAAAGGAAGTTAGAGCAGAGGAAGGGATATTCTAGACGTTTAATTCTCAGTGAAGAGCAAGATACAGAATGATGTCAGAAAGGCTAATACTCAGTTTTGTAAAGAGTGAGCTAGGGGTGTTGACCCTTAAATGTTGTGCACTCTTTCTTGTTGCAGATAAAAGTAATTAAAAATCGAGTAAATAAAATGGATCTTGGGTGGAAAAAACAACCTTGAAATAAACTTGTGATTGAGGATACTGTTCATTTGGCATTAAGGAGGATATTGTTCCTGCCTCTTGAGATCAGTGCCTACCAATCTTAATGGTGGTATTTGTACTGCTCCTGGGGTCAGCTGACAAGCCTTTGTGCTGCCCCAGGTGACTAACCTGGCGGACCTGTGACCCAGTTGTGGCATCCCTTTGGGAAAGACTGCTTCATGCTTTAAATGATGAGGAGGGGTGGTTCCTGTTTTTAAAATGTTTGAATTATAACATTCAGACAGAAAAGTGCACTAGTTTTGATTGTAGAAGTTGTTGAAATCTCTCGACATGAATTCATCCATGTAACTGTTACAGCATTCAGATCAACAAATAACATTCCCAGAACCCACAAGCCCCATAGACTTTCAGCTACTCCTCCCGACTAGCTTTCTCTGTTTTAAGTACCCTAACCTTCAAGCTCTCAAGCTGCTTCTAGAGAAGAGCCAGGCGCCTGGTGTAGGCTAGGGATTGACTGGGAATGCTAAGAGCTGGCAGCAAAGGATATGACTATGGGGAGGGGAAAAACAGATTCAGGTCAAACTGCTCACCCTCCCTGTTCCCAAGACAAATGGGGCTTGCCCTTGATATCACAGAACCTACCTTTTCCTGAGTACTTTATGCCAGGCACTTTTACTAATCTTCACAATCTGTGAAAGCACTAACTGCCAAATTTAAGGCTGGCTCAATCTAAGCCTTAGTTCTAGAAAGCCAGAGCTAAGCACTGTGCCTCATACATAAATACTCTGTAAATGTTAGCAAATGGTACTAGGATATGATGTGCAAAGGCAAACTGGTGACTAATGGTCTGGGTGCTGGGCCCTTCCCTGTGTTACCTCATTTAAGCCTCAATAAATTACGAGTACACTGCTGCTGTTACCAGTATTTAGTTATTTTGGTCACCCACGAAACAAGCATCTCACCGGTTTTTAAAGAAGGAAACCGATTCCTTGAATTGGAGGTGATTCTCCAAGGGCACACAGTGCAAACAGTCTGGATTTAAAGTTTCTAAGCCAGGCTTCCCCTGACCACTACGCTTTGCAGTCCTTCCCTGTCTTAATCTGTTAAAATTACATTCAACATTTCCACCTTTCTGTAAGTTTTGGTTTTTTTTTTTTTTTTTAATTTTAAATCTGCCTTCACCTCCTATACACACATACTCCTAAAGCAAAATGCTAGAAGTACAAACACTATTTGCTACGACCCTTTCCCCTGCCTGATAACTCTGTGTTTCTCTCTCGGCAATATAGTTGAGCGTCACAGTGACCAGCCAAGAGCTTGCTTTCTGTTGATAGTGCATGAGTGCAACCATCCTAAAAAGGAATGGAAACAGCGCATTGGTCTTGATGAGAACTGCTTTATCCAATAAGCAACGTGAGCGCCTTTGGACAAAAACGTGTATCAGTATATTTTCAGATAACATCCTACCCTGCTTTATGGAGTAGGAGCCATTGAACTGGTTTCTAAAAATGTAGATGAGGAGTTCGGCATTCTGCATCTTGATGCCGTGATGTCAGTGGATGTTTTCATGCAATGCCCTCAGGTAGAGGAACTGTAATGGAAGAATACCTCAGCTCCATGTCACCTGCTCCAAAGCTGCTCAGTTCTAATTAGCGACCTGCTTACCAACCAAACAGGGAATGTGCAGTCTTTGGGCAGAGGCAGGAATGAAACCAGTTTCTGGCCCCTTTCACTATCATTAGAGGAACTCCAAGCCCCATCCTTGGGAAGGCTAAGCACTTTTTCTGCTTTTAAAAGGAAAGCACCAGATGGAATGAGCTAGAAACACATCATTTCACTCTCCTTGGACATAATATGGTGAGGAATACATTTGCTTTGGGAACTTTAGTATTTACCAAAATAGATATTTTCTTGAATAACTGATTATTAAGACAAAAAGATATGTTTAGGAGGATCCCTAGAGGAGACAGCGTAGGTACCAAGATGCTTAATCCCTTTACTCATTTTCTCTAATCTGTGTTTACCTGATTCCCTGAAAGATACAGATATATAAAATGACATTCACTTTGCTGATACGAGAAGACCAATAACTGGAATCTTAAAGATTGTTTTTAAGAAGCTGGAAACTCAGCGGTGTGTTATGTTTTTCTATAGGCTGATGCTCAAATCTGTTGGCATCATCTCTCTCGGCCAGTGGTGTGGACATGCAGGGGGTTAAAATAGGTGGCATTCCCAGAGCCAGTTAGGAAAACAATGCCCGGGTCCTGGGATTCAGCAACGCCAGGTTGGAACAAGCGGATACTGTACAAGGGAGTACAGTACATGGTAGCAGGCCCCTACAGGTGATCAAGAATGCCCGTTATTTCACCACTGATTATTTTCATAAGTGTTTTGAGTGTTGACTGAGATGCAGGGCGGCACTATGGCTAAGAGCAAAGGCTTTGGAATCAGGGTTTGAATCTGGCTTTGCTGTTCAGGTGTGATGTCAGGCAACTTAATTTCTTTGAACCTCAGTTTCCTCATCTGCTAAATCATATCTACTTCAGATATGTTTTTGAGGATTCTAATATTAACACGTATAGCCCCAATTTCCTTCTGATAGGAATACAATTTTTAAAAATGTTGAAAACATAGCACCTACTGTGCTAAGTATTTTATTAACTCACTGAATCCTCATGACAACCCTATGAGGTAGCTCCAATTATAGTCCTCATTTTGTAATTGAGAAAATTGAGAAACAGACAGGTTAAGTAACTTGCTCAAGGTCACACAGTTAGTAAATGTCAAGCCAGGATTCTGAGCCCAGGCAGTTACTGCCAGTCTATGGAGACTGTCCCTGCCATTGCAGATTTGTCTGCTTCCTGTCTGGATGCTGGTCTGAGTACCAGATCCTTGGCAGTCAGAACTGTTTCAGGATGCTACTTTAGCTAACGACAGACGATGAAGGTAAAGCTGCTGGCTTCAGAGACCATGCTAAGCGTCAGTTCCTACGAATGGGTGGGGACTGCCCCATGTGCAGCAGTGAGAAGGACTCTGAGGCCCAAGTTCCAGTGTAGCAGGAAACAGTGGCTCAATCAGTTTCTTCTGCAGTGAGCAAGGGAGCCCATTTACTTAGTGTTCTTGATTTAGTTTGAACCCTTCATTTGAAGATGAAAACAGCTGCAGCCCAGAGATGTTAAATGACTTTCCCTTGGTCTTAGGGCTGTAGTCAGTACTACGGCTGGAATATGGTGGGGACAATCATTTGAGGACCTCTTTATGCCAGGCTGGGTGCTGGAACGCGTAGTGGACAGCTCCTAGGATGTGAGACTTTCACTACTAAAACCAGAAAGTCCCAGGCATGCTGGGACAGGAATGCCCTCACACTGCCATGGTTCTGTGTTTGTCTTTGCCTCTGTCCATGCCTGCGCAATGGAGGTGATGAGGGCCCTGAGTTCGTAATCCCCACCCAGCCACTCATTAACCTTGGGACATTTACTTAATCTCGATGTGCCTCAGTGTTAGTGTATTCGCATCCCAGTGTGCCTGGGACTGTCTGGTTTTAGTACTGAAAGTCTTACATCCCAGACACCCTGTCAGACCTGGGCAAGCTGGGACGGTTGGTCACCCTACTCAGCTTCGTCTGTAAAATGGAGGTGACAACCGCTACTTTTTCACAGATTTGATTTGAGGATTAAATACTTTATTATGGATAAAGTACTTAGAAGTGGTGTTTGGGACATAGTCTTTTCTCTCTATATATGTATATACACACACACGTACGTGTGTGTATGATATATAACACATGCACACGTATATATACACACACACATTTGTAGAGATGGGGTCTCACTACGTTGCCCATGCTGGAGTGCAGTGGCTATTCACAGGCACCATCATGGCTCACTGTAGCCTCAGAATCCTGGCCTCAGGCGATCCTCCTGCCCCAGCCTCCCAAGTAGCTGGGACTACAGACAATACATATTTATTTTTCCTTGTTATTCTTTTTTTCATTATTGTTGGAACAGTGTTTCCACCACAGAAGGGATCCCTGGAGACCTTCACTCTTCTCCCAAACAAGACCGGGGACATTCCCATGATCACCTTTTAGTCACCTGCAGCCAATTTATTGGAGTGTTTCTTCTACTTGAAATAGCAAATAATTGTAAGCTTGAGGAACACATTTGTCATTGCATTCAGTTCAAAAACCACTTATTAAATTCTATTGCATGTTAGGTACTGTTCTAGGCTCTTCTGGGGGATTCAGAGGAAGCTAGGCAGGCCTTGAGCACTGTCTATGACCAGGAATGGGAATTCCATACAGAGGAAATGGCTTGAGCAAAAAGACAAGTAGGTATGAGGCATGTTTAAATCAGATAGTAGCGTGTGTTCAATACATCACAAGCCTTGATTTTTTTTTTTTTTAGATGGTCTCACTCTGTCACCCAGGCTGGAATGCAGTGGTGCAATTTTGGCTCACTGCAACCTCAGCCTCCTGGATTCAAGCAATTCTCCTGCCTCAGCCTCCTGACTAGCTGGGATTACAGGTGCCTGCCACCACGCCCAGCTAATTTTTGTATTTTTAGTAGCGACAGGGTTTCACCATGTTGATCAGGCTGGTCTCGAACTCCTGACCTCATGATCCACCTGCCTTGGCCTCCCAAAGTGCTGGGATTACAGGCATGGGCCACCGTGCCCAGCCACAAGCTTTGAACTTTAAAAAAAACTTTAAAAACTGAATAGGGATTCAGTTATCTTTTTGCCCTTTCCCATCAAGGACTTGCCTTTCTTTCCTTGCTGCCTCTCTCCTTTCTTCTCCCCTCTGTGCACACCCTGCTTGCTCTTCTTCCCCTTTCTGTCGCCAGTGCAGTGGCTCGTGGCCGTCCTGCAGTGACGCTTTCCAATTTCACACTTACATGCACCTGAAAGTATTCATAAACTAACTCATGTAAAACCAAGAAAGGGCAACGGCACACATTCCTGTCAGACAGTAATTTTACCTGACTCCCTTTCTCCTGCTTTGACCGGTCCTCTTCTCTCAAACATGGTCCTTTGACCTTCCCA